ACCAATACATACATACATTCTTCAGACGACCGTACAGGCAAAGTGAGGTGCACCAAAAAACTAAAGCCTTCACTTCACATCAGACATTCCAAGGTGGAGCCAATCTTTTGGACGCTTGAGTGAAGATCTTGCATCCCATTAGTCAATGGGGTACCGGTCACATTCAGCACCATCACATCTATAACTCAAGTTCAATATGGGTGTTGTAACAAGCTCACTTAAAACCCAGGATGATCTTCATTCAGAATGCAATACACATATCACGTCTGCTGATGCTCCCAGCGGTGTTAGATTTAGATTTTTACATTTTAGTCATTTAGCAGACGCTCTTATCCAGAGCGACTTACAGTTAGTGAGTGCATACATTATTTTTTATATTTTTCATACTGGCCCCCCGTGGGAATCGAACCCACAACCCTGGCGTTGCAAACGCCATGCTCTACCAACTGAGCTACATGCCTGCCGGCCATTCCCTCCCCTACCCTGGACGAGGGTCAATTGGGCCAATTGTGTGCCCCCCCCCCCCATGGGTCTCCCGGTCGCGGCCGGCTACGACAGAGCCTGGATTCGAACCAGGATCTCTAGTGGCACAGCTAGCACTGCGATGCAGTGCCATAGACCACTGCGCCACTCGGGATACCTGTTAGGGTGTTATGTTATCAGATCCCCTGGCTCTGTCTCTCTGCAGGATGCATGCGGTGTCTCATTACGTCGTTACGTCGTTACGTCGTGAGCCATTTCAGTTCTGCTGAGCAGGTTCTATTGTTCTGCTCTTGTGCTCCAAGGTGACACACTACTACTGCCTCTGTCCAAGTCGTGACAGGCCAAATGCGTCATTTCTCCGGAGAGAGAGAGGAGAGAGAGAGAGAGGAGATAAAAAGAGGAAGGGAGGCGAGAGAGAGCAAGAGAGGGAGGAGAGAAAAAGAGAGATGGAGAGAGAGAAGAGAGAGAGGTGAGAGAGACATTTGCCCAACTGATTGTGCATGGGTAAGCAATAAGCATTCTCACACTACAGGAAAATAGACCCCATTCCACCACATTTCAGACTGCCTCAATTCATTTTCTCTACCCCAATCAGCAGTATACTACCAGTTCCACTCTCTCTCTCTCTCTCTCTCTGACAGAACCGAGAACAAATCATCCTGAACGATGTAAAAAAGCCCATCTATTTTTCATGTCTTTACAGAACGTACCATTGTACATTTGTTTCAGCTCTGCACTAAAGCCTATGATTAAGTGATGTATTACAAGCAATTTGTCACACGAGCAAACCATTCTATAATGCAAAAGCCTTATTCAGAGCAATGAGCATGTTCTCAAATTGATGCAAGTTAAGGAGAACACATTTTATCAGTAGAGCTTCAAATATATCTAAATGTATTTTCAAGGTCAACATAGCAATTTAATAATGAAGGACATCTATATAATTTAAAATAAACGGATTAAACCTGGTTTAAAAATGAAATATATTTTAGGACCTTTAGGCTGCATTTACACATGCAGCCCATTTCTGATCCTTTGCCAAATTATGGGCAAAAGATCTGATCAGATTTTTCAAAAGACCAATTGGTGGAAAAATAATTGGGCTTCCTGTGTAAACGCAGCCTTATGTTCATTTTAACAGAACAAAAACACTTTCACGTCACCAATGAACTATTTAACACAATAGAAGAGAAGTACATTCATAAACAGTAAAGTAATATTGTCATAAAACTTGTTTTGGACCTGTGGTTGACACAGAATGCCCAAATTTTGTTTTAGGTTATCTTTAAACCAGTTTGGATTACATTTGATTGGCTTAGCTGTATGCCTTTAATAGCCTGGTCCCATATCTGTTCGTGCTGTCTGACAATGACCATAAGAAAAGGTAGGACACCACAAACAGATATGGGACTGGACCAGGCTATGCCTATCTAGCATTTGTTTTGTTTGATGTTAAACGAAACGAGAGTGCAGCAGCAGTCAGGACTGTGGATCAGGATAATGCCTATCATGGAAGCCTCTGACAATTTGGCAAACCAAGATACTGTATTTGACTCTGCCTAACTGTCCTTCAATCAGTCATATTCAAGGGGAAATGTGTCCCTGCAACTCAATTGTGCAGAGAGGAGGGGAATGATTGGGATAACCCTGACGTAAGGAGGATACATTTACAAAAAAATGAAGACAAGGTTTGTTGAGCAGATACCCAGACAGAGAAGAGTCTTTTCAACCACAGGCCCTTATCAGGTTAAGGGAACAATATTTAGTGAGAAACAGATTTAAACATTACATTCATTCTGCATGTGGGCTCACAGCTCTTTAGGAAACTGTTTTTCATAGCAAAACACAAAACAAGGTGTTTTAGCGGTAAAAATAGTATATGAGTTTGAAAGTATTCCAAACTGGACATTGGTGTTCTGGTTTTCATCATTAGAACAATGGTCATGAATTCATAATTTTACATTTAAGTAATTTAGCATAAGCTCTTATCCAGAGCGACTTACAGTAGTGAGTGCATACATTGTCATTATTTTTTTCGTACTGGTCCCCCCCGTGGGAATCGAACCCACAACCCCGGCGCTGCGAGCATCATGATCTTCCAACTGAGCTCCGCGGGACTCCATCATCACACTATTATATACACACACATTGCATAAGGCATTTAATGAAGAACCATTGTAGCCTGTAGGCTTCCAGTATATTCAGTATAATTTAATAATTTATGTACATAAAGAAAGATAAAGGTGTTTGGGTCTGCAGCCTACAATAGGAATTTTGCTCGTCTCTGTTTGGCAGTACACATAGCAGGCAGTAACTGACCCTAATCAATAAGTAAGCCTATGCAGTGGACTATGATTTAATAATTGAGCAAAAAAAAAATTGGGAAACGCTGGTGTAGAGACTCATTGTATCATCTAAACCGCTGTGAAATATATTGTATTTTCAGCTGTTTGACGCTGGTGTACAAAACCTAAAGTAAAAGAGGCAAAAACTAAACTTAAGAACGGGAAGCATAGAAATAGCCATATAGAACAGATCTACTGATTTGTAGACTTGCTTTCAATGAGAATGACAGATCTATAACTCCCATTTCTATGTGAATTTGGTTGGATCGCCCAAAAAGTTACATATTGCAGCTTTAAATTGAAATCAGAAACACTTCCCTGCTTAACTAGGAACCTCGATTGAACCTTGATTGAACCTCGATTGAGCTGTTGAGCAGAATAATAGTGCAAACCGTCACTATGCTGTTAAGTAGCCAATTACCAGTAAGTGTTTTTTCTGCCCACCTATGACAAGTCGGTTATTATGAAATATGATTAGCCAAAAGGGTCCTCACCATTTCCCCTTTTCAGCCCACTTGTCATATATCAAATGATTGAGCTTTGTATCAGTGTTGAAACGGTATTAGCTACAATCTGACGTTACCTAAACGTCAGTACTCTTTGGATTTGATGCAATATTTGCTCTGTTGTAGCATCAGTTTCAACAATACTAACATAGATACTGCACTCACGTGCACACACACTCTTCCAATTTATGTAGCACAGAGATTGCCTGCCATTACCTACGATTGCCAAAAATAGGTCCCCCTCGTGAACCGTCTGTGCCTTCGATGCACACACACTGCCGCTTAAGTAAAAGGGCCTAGGGGAAGGAAGGGGAAATAGATCAATAATTACGTGAGTGTGTGAAGTAAAGGGTCGATCTTGGTAGAATCAGGTCACCTGCATGGAACACTGATACGGTGCTGTACACAAGAAACATCTAAACACCTTCAAAAAGAGAACTAGCTTCAAAGACACAGTCACACAACCCATCCTTGAACCATCCTCCATCCTTGAACCATCCTCACTTAATCTTTCCTATGAAAAGGAGCACTAATTGAGACGGGTACCGACAACGTCAACAACATTAAATGTCTGCGTCTGCTGATTTATCTCCTACTTTGACCCCTCCCTTTCACGTGACTGTCATCCTTTTGCACAAACATCCATCCTCCGTCTCTCAGCTAGTCTATAACCTTGTTATACAGTATATACCCTACCTGTGCTTGTCTCTCTGGCCATGGCATGGCTAGCGCAACCCTCAAACATTTCATCAACCGTAAAAGCATTGAGAGGCCAGCTCTGCCTTTGTCAAACGAACACAGTTTTGCAACAGCGCCATTGTCCATCGCTCAGGTCCGATTGAAAGAAATGCACCAGAAAAGGAAGTTGTTCTTGAACCCTTTGTTTTCCAAGGACACAATGTTTGTCAGATACATTCTGGAAGGTGAGTTAGGCCAGGTGACAAGGAACTACTTTATTTCTCACCCTCTGAGAGAGCAGACTACTACTCCACTGGAGGCTTGACCGTAAAAGCTCAAAAGATGAGTTGGCTGGGAGATATAGTGAGTGTGCTGGGGAATGCCAAGGCACGTTGCCCTTCTTGACACCATGCGGTCCCCCACGGCCCTCTACCACCCCCTTTCTCCGTTTCCCCCCCTGGTTTTATGAAGCAATGTAGCAAAAACCCCACAGTGTGAAACCTTGACTGCCCTTCGCTCCTCTTTTCTCACGTCAGTGGGTTGAAAAGGCAGATTGTTTAACTCTCTCTCCCATCCCGTAAGCCCGGCTTTCTTATGGAACCCTCTGCTCTCTTTGCATAACTTAAGAGGTGCAGAGAAAAGGAACTGTTTCCATGTTACCTCACGGTCCAATGCCTGCAACCTGACTCTCTTCTTCTGTCATTGCCACTTCTTCCAACACATAAAGCAAATAAGAAAGAATCTACCAACCACATCAAAGCAATGACATTTTTTGTACAAGTACGGTTCGTACAGTTTCATACAACAACCTTTTGGATTTACAGGTGCACCATGCGAGTCCCATGGCCTCCAAACCAACCCAGACATACAATATACACCCTTTAGTCCACAGAGGGCCAGCTTCCTGGAACCAACAAGAGCTCAAGGGAGATTGTAGCATCAAGGAGGGGTAACAGTCTGGGGATGGTGGCAGTCTGTAGTACACGGGTCATTTGAGCTTGACGGGCCATGGCAGGCACGTGCGGAGTCCCAGCATGGAGGAGAAGATGATGGTGGGCCGGTGCTTCTTGAAGCGCAGGCCCTTCTTGAGCCGCTGGCTGTTCTCGGCCGCATACATCTCTCCCTGCTGGGCAGCGCAGGCGATGCGGGTCAACACCTCGTCACGCTCCACCGCCTCCTGTTCCGAGCGCACGAACACCTCCCGGAGCTCCTCCAGGCGCCGTTCCATCTCCCGGATGACGCGCTGGCGCTCCTCCATCTCTAGCAGGCGCCGACGGGCCGCTTCGAACTCCATGCTAGAGCTGGGGGTCACCATCTTGGAGGAAGGGGGCTGTGGTAGCCGTTGAGGGGGGCTCCGAGCCGTACAAGGCCGTGGTCACCCGCTTAAAGTCGCCCATGGAGATGGAGCGTCGGGTGGCGGGCGATGGGAGTGGGAGGGCCAGGGTGCCGGAGGCTGAGAAAGGGAGGGAAGGGAGAGCAAGAGGGGGAAGGTGGGGATCCATGGCGTCTGTGGTGTCCGCGGCATGCGCTTGTCTGTGGCGTTTCTTCATGGCTGGGTGCGGGCATCTGTCTGTGCTGCTGTTGTTGATTCTAGTGCTCTGTGGGAGAGCGGTGAGCGGCGTGCTGCCTCAGAGCCGCTCCATTCATTAATAAGGGATCGGAGCTCAGCACAGCGCTTCATGGGGAGGAGTCCACTCGCCCCTCATTGGTTGCTTGCTTCCTGTTGAATGCCGATTGGCTGCTTGCCCCTCTGCTGGCCCTCTCTACCCTCCTCTGGACTGCTATCTCCAGTGCTCTTAGTCTGCTTCAACAGGAAGTGGAAGAGAGGGATAAAATATATTCAGCGATTCTATCCTTTTTCCTCTCCGTGGTTGGCTCAGTGTGTGTATTGTGTGAGCCGCTCTCCTCTCCGCCCTCCCTCCCTCCCTCCCTCTCTCCCACCAGCTGGGATCAATCCATCCTCCTCTCTCCTGCTCGGCTCGTTGCCCATAGCAACGCAGTCTTGACTTCAGATGGCAAGTGGAGGAGGGAGTGAGGGAGGGAGGGGTGTTGTTCTCCCTCTCTCCCTCTGTATACTTAATGTTGTTTAAAATAAGCCTAGTTAATGTACTTAATGTTGTTTAAAATAAGCCTAGTTAATATACTTAATGTTGTTTATGTGTAGCCTATTTCACACTATTTGTTGTCTCTTAGCTCCTATTTCTAACCACTAGGCTAGAAATAGGAGCTAAGTTCAATGGTCAGGTCATTCTGAGGAAGACGTCAGCTTGATGTCGAAACGTCAGTCACCTGTTCGCATCCTATACAATGGTAAAATAAATCAATCTCCTCTTTCTTTGTTGAGTGTTCCAACTCCTTTCTACCTTGAATTAGTCCTTTTGGAAAATTTTCTTCGGAAGCCCTTCTCATATTTCACACTATGTTGGGGTAGAAATCAGAGTATAATACTTTCAACCCCAATACATGTTCATGTCATCGTCACCAATCAACTGCATTACACTTGGAAAAACCTTTAGCTACCACGACCGATTTCTATATGGCTAGCTATGCTACCAGCTCATACGAACAGGAGACTTGTGTTTCTAAACCTCAATAGGACAACTTCTATATGCAGCAAAAACAGCCAAATATATCCAAATCGGATTTTAGTCACCATATTATGGGCCTGTTAGAACACGATGGATTTGACGAATATCCACTTTATTAGATCAACCACAACAAAAATGGCCGCCAATGACCATGTCCTTTTTCTATTCCCCGTGGTCTGCATTCCATTGATCTCTTTACCACATGTACAGCACCCAACCACGGCAACACAAGACAGGAAGTGAATGGCGAGGCTGAATGGTTTCTTCACTCTAGATTCCTGTGATCTTGTGGTGATGTGGGGTGTGGCGATGTGTTTGGGAGATGTAATTACTGTCGTCCACGTCCATGCTGTCAGTGATTGCACTAAACAACAGAAGAAGTGAAGCAGGAAGAGGAGGAGGGGTCGTACCATAGAATCTATCACAACCAGTGTGCCTTTATCAATACATCCATCAGCTCAGAGTACCCAAGGGGCGTATCCACAAAGCACCTCAGAGTAGAAAGGCTGATCTAGGATCAGGTCCCCACCTGTCCATATAATCGTATTCATTATTATCTAAAAGGCGAAACTGATCCTAGATCATCATTCTGAGACGCTTTGTTAATATGGGCCCCGATCTAGGACAACGTTCAGAGACCGACATCCTGTTAGCTGCTGTTGTACGTTAAACACACACTACTACATAAGCTACTCAGACCTGGGTTTGAAATACTATTTCAGGTATTTCAATTACTTTTCTAAACATTTCAAACAAGTATTCTGAGGCTACTGTTGTATACATGAGACAGACGAAGCGGTAGCCATGGTTATTTTGACCTTAGGTATCTAATGGATGCTTTCCATTGTTTGTTCCATTTGCTGCCATCATAGTTGTCTAGACAATTATTGACCAGGGTTTTGATGCTTCCAGTCATGCCAGGCTAGGTGGAAAATAACAGACAGAGCGAGAGAGCGATCGTTCTGGGGTGGAGGTACATGCAGTATTGGTTCGTAGCGGTAGTGGTGGTGGGAGCGAGAGTGCTACTTTAAATAACAGTTTTTAAAAGCCTCTACCTTGGATGAGTAGTGGCAATTAACCGAGCACGAGTGGGTGGGTGGAAATGGTAGAGGCGGGGGGGGTAAGGTGCTCACTCAGCCACATGCTTTTATCTCCGGATCTGCATGACATCAGCAACGATCTACCGACTGCTGCTACCGCTACTTCTCTTACATTAATGTTCACGAGGGAGAGGGGGAGTGAGAGGTTTTTTATAGTGCGTATCTGAGCAGAGGAAGTAGACGTTCAGGGACGAAGGCCTTATTGATTCCCATTGGATGGATTTTGCTGATTGTTGAGGCTTTGGCTGGCTAGAGGCCAAATGAGGGCTTGTGTGGCTTTGGGAATGAGTGATATTAGGATTAACTGGGGTTGGTTGGTGGGTTTTGGGAGTGAGTGATATTAGGATTAACTGGGGTTGGTTGGTGGGTTTTGCGGTGCACATGCTGCAAGGTTGGGGTCAATTCCATGTCAATTCTAATTCCAATTTCCCTTACTCAAACCCTGGCATCCTGTAGCTAGCTTAATGTTTGGGAAGCCACCACTGGTTGGTAGCGCAACAGAGTTCAAAGTAGCATTTCTCATCTAAACCACGGACAGGTTGCCAAGAGTTCAAAAGCATGCATACACACACACACCGCCCACTGGGCACACACTGGTTGAATTAACGTTGTTTCCACGTAATTTAAATGAAATTAGGTTGAACCAACATGGGACTAGACGTTGAATTGACGTCTGTGCCCAGTGGGTGGACACTGCCACCATCAACAACAACGTGTCCATCCGTGACTTAGTGTGTGAGCCAAGCAAACCAGAGGGATACATAATGCGGATCCTGTCCTGTTATGAAAGACTGGTGCACAGACACACGCACGCAGTCGCGCACACACACACACACACACACACACTAAACAAGGCTCTTGATAGGATAATTCAGGATGCATTATAGTATTTCAGGGTCTCTCTCCCATCTCAGATATAATCTCACCCCCCCCTCCCTCCCTCCCTCCCTCACTTCTCTTCACTTAAACAGTCCTGAAAGCCTGCTCTCAATCCCTTATGAAAATAACCATCCATCCCTGCATCCATCCTTCCCTGTGCATACACAGACCCTCTGTCCCAGATTAGTTTAATCTCCTCTGCCTATGTTTGTTGGTGCTAGTTGGATGGAGTGACTTGGCAGTTGCTGGATAGAGGGAATTGCATCATCATGACGTCTGATTGGGGATTGTGGAGAGGGGGCCACGGGTGAGGCAGGGACAGGGGACTACATTGGCAGCTAGGGTGCATGGTAGTATCTTGGTAGTAAGATGTCACGTTAGTGGAAGGACTGGGTTGTATGAATGCTAGTTATTCAGTAATGGCTTGTTGTACCCATTACAACATCAGATAATTGGGGACGCAGTTTGTAGTAACATGAATCTGTGTATAAAAATAAGTGTTTGACCATGATCGCTCCTAATAGGTCTAATAGGCCTTCCCAGGTCCTTGTTGTGCATGCTGGCTGCATCACAGTGAGAACAAGACGTTGGAAATATGTATTTTCAACCAAAAATACATATTTTGCTCATAGGGATAGCATAGTGCCTGTGTGTATGGTTTCAGAGTATGTTCTACTTTTAGGGAGATTTAGTGGGCTGTGCTGCAGAGGAACTGGAGAGAGACAAATCACCTGCTGAGAGAAAGAGAGAGAGAGAGAGAGACAAATCACCTGCTGAGAGAGAGAGAGAGAGAGCGAGAGAGAGACAAATCACCTGCTGAGAGAGACAAATCACCTTCTGAGAGAGAGAGAGAGAATAGTCCATCTTTGGTTTTTACGTGCTTGTGTGTGCACTACTGTAGCACTAACAAACGCTTTCAAGAGGCACAATCAGAATTGAGTTCACCAGCCAGAAAGAGCAATAAAAACATCCATTAAAATCAGGTTGTTCAGTAGATGTACATACTGTACTAGTATCAAAAATGTTTATGAAGCTTCACTGTTTTGGAGTGAGAGGGGTCAATGCTCCCTGCGTCTCCAAGGTCTGCTGCCCACACAGAGACAGAGGAGGAGTCAGAGGCAGCCTTCGCTCTGCGTCTTAGGACTTTCAGACATGGTTTCTCATCCGCAGTACAATTGACGCTCTTGCCTCTTAGTCACTGCCTCTAAGTCACTGCCTCTAAGTCACTGCCTCTAATCAAATCAAATCAAATTTTATTGGTCACATGCGCCGAATACAACAGGTGCAGACATTACAGTGAAATGCTTACTTACAGCCCTTAACCAACAGTGCATTTATTTTAAACAAAAAAGTAAGAATAAAACAACAACAAAAAAGTGTTGAGAAAAAAAGAGCAGAAGTAAAATAAAGTGACAGTAGGGAGGCTATATATACAGTAAAATAAAGTGACAGTAGGGAGGCTATATATACAGGGGGGTACCGTTGCATAGTCAATGTGCGTGGGCACCGGCTAGTTGAGGTAGTTGAGGTAATATGTACATGTGGGTAGAGTTAAAGTGACTATGCATAAATACTTAACAGAGTAGCAGCAGCGTAAAAAGGATGGGGTGGGGGGGCAGTGCAAATATTCCGGGTAGCCATGATTAGCTGTTCAGGAGTCTTATGGCTTGGGGGTAGAAGCTGTTGAGAAGTCTTTTGGACCTAGACTTGGCACTCCGGTACCGCTTGCCGTGCGGTAGCAGAGAGAACAGTCTATGACTAGGGTGGCTGGAGTCTTTGACAATTTTGAGGGCCTTCCTCTGACACCGCCTAGTATAGAGGTCCTGGATGGCAGGGAGCTTTGCCCCAGTGATGTACTGGGCCGTACGCACTACCCTCTGTAGTGCCTTGCGGTCAGAGGCCAAGCAGTTGCCATACCAGGCGGTGATGCAACCAGTCAGGATGCTCTCGATGGTGCAGCTGTAGAATTTTTTGAGGATCTGAGGACCCATGCCAAATCTTTTTAGTCTCCTGAGGGGGAATAGGCTTTGTCGTGCCCTCTTCACGACTGTCTTGGTGTGTTTGGACCATGATAGTTCGTTGGTGATGTGGACACCAAGGAACTTGAAGCTCTCAACCTGTTCCACTACAGCCCCGTCGATGAGAATGGGGGCGTGCTCAGTCCTCTTTTTTTTCCTGTAGTCCACAATCATCTCCTTTGTCTTGGTCACGTTGAGGGAGAGGTTGTTGTCCTGGCACCACACGGCCAGATCTCTGACCTCCTCCCTATAGGCTGTCTCATCGTTGTCGGTGATCAGGCCTACCACTGTTGTGTCGTCGGCAAACTTAATGATGGTGTTGGAGTCGTGCCTGGCCATGCAGTCATGGGTGAACAGAGAGTACAGGAGGGGACTGAGCACGCACCCCTGAGGGGCCCCCGTGTTGAGGATCAGTGTGGCAGATGTGTTGTTACCTACCCTTACCACCTGGGGGCGGCCCGTCAGGAAGTCCAGGATCCAGTTGCAGAGGGAGGTGTTTAGTCCCAGGATCCTTAGCTTAGTGATGAGTTTAGAGGGCACTATGGTGTTGAATGCTGAGCTGTAGTCAATGAATAGCATTCTCACGTAGGTGTTCCTCTTGTCCAGGTGGGAAAGGGCAGTGTGGAGTGCGATAGAGATTGCATCATCTGTGGATCTGTTGGGGCGTTATGCAAATTGGAGTGGGTCTAGGGTTTCTGGGATTATGCTGTTGATGTGAGCCATGACCAGTCTTTCAAAGCACTTCATGGCTACAGACGTCAGTGCTACGGGTCGGTAGTCATTTAGGCAGGTTATCTTAGAGTTCTTGGGCACGGGGACTATGGTGGTCTGCTTGAAACATGTTGGTATTACAGACTCAGTCAGGGACATGTTGAAAATGTCAGTGAAGACACTTGCCAGTTGGTCAGCACATGCTCGGAGTACACGTCCTGGTAATCCGTCTGGCCCTGCGGCCTTGTGAATGTTGACCTCTAAGTCACTGCCTCTAAGTCACTGCCTCTAAGTCACTGCCTCTAGTGCTGACTCTAAATCACTGTCTCTAAATCACTGTCTCTAAATCACTGCCTCTAAATCACTGCCTCTAAATCACTGCCTCTAAATCACTGTCTCTAAATCACTGTCTCTAGTGCTGACTCTAAATCACTGTCTCGAAACCAAACAGACTTGTGTTTAGTAGGCACATAACAGGGGGGTGTTTAGTAGGAACATAACAGGGGGGTGTTTAGTAGGAACATAACAGGGGGGTGTTTAGTAGGCACATAACAGACTTGTGTTTAGTAGGCACATAACAGGGGGGTGTTTAGTAGGCACAATAACAGGGGGGTGTTTAGTAGGCACATAACAGGGGGGTTTTTTAGTAGGCACATAACAGGGGGGTGGGGTTTAGTAGGCCACATAAAAAGGGGGGTGTTTAGTAGGCACATAACAGACTTGTGTTTAGTAGGCACATAACAGGGGGTGGGTTTTGTAGGCACATAACAGGGGGTGTTTAGTAGGCAACATAACAGACTTGTGTTTAGTAGGGAACATAACAGGGGGGTGTTTTGTAGGCCCCTAACAGGGGGGGGTTAGTAGGCCATAACAGGGGGGGTGGGTGTTTAGTAGGCAATACAGGGGGGTGTTTAGTAGGAACATAACAGGGGGGTGGTTTAGTAGGCCAATAAAACGGGGGTGTTTAGTAGGCAAAATAACAGACTTGTGTTTAGTAGGCACATAACAGGGGGGTGTTTAGTAGGCACATAACGGGGGGGTGTTTAGTAGGCACATAACAGGGGGGTGTTTAGTAGGCACATAACAGGGGGGTGTTTAGTAGGCACAAACGGGGGGTGTTTAGTAGGCACATAAAAAGGGGGGTTTTAGTAGGCACATAACAGGGGGGTGTTTAGTAGGCACATAACAGGGGGGTGTTTAGTAGGCACAAACAGGGGGGTGTTTAGTAGGGGACATAACAGATTGTGTTTAGTAGGCACCCTAACAGGGGGGTGTTTAGTAGGGGACATAACAGGGGGGTGTTTAGTAGGCACATAACAGGGGGTGTTTAGTAGGCACATAACAGGGGGGTGTTTAGTAGGCACATAACAGGGGGGTTTGTAGGCACAAACAGACTTGTGTTTAGTAGGCACATAACAGGGGGGTGTTTAGTAGGCACATAACAGGGGGGTGTTTAGTAGGCACATAACAGGGGGGTGTTTAGTAGGCACATAACAGGGGGGTGTTTAGTAGGCACATAACAGGGGGGTGTTTAGTAGGCACATAACAGGGGGGTGTTTAGTAGGCACATAACAGGGGGGTGTTTAGTAGGAACATAACAGGGGGGGTGTTTAGTAGGCACATAACAGGGGGGGTGTTTTTAGTAGGCACATAACAGGGGGGTTTTTAGTTTGGCACATAACAGGGGGGTGTTTAGTAGGCACATAACAGGGGGTGTTTAGTAGGCACATAACAGGGGGGTGTTTAGTAGGCCCCATAAAGGGGGGTGTTTGTAGGCACAAACAGGGGCGGTGTTTGGGGGTGGTTTAGTAGGCACATAACAGACTTGTGTTTAGTAGGCACATAACAGGGGGGTGTTTAGTAGGCACATAACAGGGGGGGTGTGTTAGTAGGAACATAACAGGGGGGTGTTTAGTAGGCACATAACAGGGGGGTGTTTAGTAGGAACATAACAGGGGGGTGTTTAGTAGGCACATAACAGGGGAAAGTACTATCTGTACATACACAATAAGAAATGCTAGCTTTGTGCACGGGGGCATTGTCATGCTGAAAAAAGGAAAGGGCCTTCCCCAAACTGTTGCCACAAAGTTGGAAGCACAGAATCGTCTAGAATGTCATAGTATGCTGTAGCGTTAAGATTTCCCTTCACTGGAACTAAGGGGCCTAGCCCGAACCATGAAAACCAGACCATAATTCCTCCTCCACCAAACTTTACAGTTGGCACTATGCATTGGGGCAGGTAGTGTTCTCCTGGCATCCGCCAAACCCAGATTCGTCCGTCGGACTGCCAGATGGTGAAGCGTGATTCATCACTCCAGAGAACACGTTTCCACTGCTCCAGAGTCCAATGGCGGCGAGCTTTACACCACTCCAGCCGACGCTTGGCATTGCGCGTGGTGATCTTAGACTTGTGTACGGCTGCCTGGCCATGGAAACCCATTTTATGAAGCTCCCGACGAACAGTTATTATGCTGACATTGCTTCCAGAGGCAGTTTAGAACTCGGAAGTGAGTGTTGCAACAGAGGAAAGATTATTTTTAAGCTCTACGCGCTTCAGCACTCGGCGATCCCGTTCTGAGCTTCTGTGGCTGAGACGTTGTTTCTCCTAGATGTTTCCACGTCACAATAACAGCACTTACAGTTGACCGGGGCAGCTCTAGCAGGGCAGAAATTTGACGAACTGACTTGTTGGAAAGGTGGCATCCTATGACGGTGCCACGTTGAAAGTCACTGAGCTCTTCAGTAAGGCCATTTTACTGCCAATGTTTGTCTATTGAGATTGCATGGCTGTGTGCTTGATTTTATACACCTGTCAGCAACAGGTGTGGCTGAAATAGCCTAATCCATTAATTTGAAGGGGTGTCCACATACATTTGTATATATAGTGTACCTTAATAGAAAATGACTCAAGTAAAAGTCACCCAGTAAAATACTACTTGAGTAAAAATATATAAGTATTTGGTTTTAAATGTATCAAAAGTAAATGTAATTGCTGAAATATACTACAAAGTGAAAACATGTTTTTAGAAATCGTAGCAAATGTATTGAAAATGAAGTACAGAAATCTAATTTAGAGAAGTATTCACACCCCTGATTCAATACATGTTAGAATCACCTTTGGCAAGAGCCTCCCGA